AAAGAAAGAAAGAAAGAAAGAAAGAAAGAAAGAAAGAAAGAGAGAGAGAAAGAAAGAGAGAGAGAGAAAGAAAGAAAGAAAGAGAGAGAGAAAGAAAGAAAGAAGAAAGAAAGAAAGAAAAAGAAAGAGAGAGAGAGAAAGAAAGAAAGAAAGAAAGAAAGAAAGAAAGAAAGAAAGAGAAAGGAAAGAAAGAAAGAAAGAGAAAGAAAGAAAGAAAGAGTCTGAACAACTCAGTTCAAGCACAGATGTAGCTGGATCCAGAAAGATCGTAAAGTGATCAATTAAATTGGGTTTCTGCATTATATTTCTTGCCAGTCTGTGTGTCTAGAAGTTGCTAAACACCTATCAGATTTATTTTGAAGGCAATAATAAATAGATAGGAAAAAAAGCTTGCAAATAGCTGATTTTAGCTAAAGAAATGTAAATAGGGAAAGATTTCATCCTTGAGCAAGAATGCCAGGTTATCAACAACTCATCTTTGTACCACCTATTCTGTATAGGTGGCTCCGCTTCTCAGCATATAACAAACAAAATATTTCATAAGAAAGGCTTTGTCACGACCAATTGGCAGGAGCATATGATGCCAGTTAATTTCTCTGGTCTCTGGCTGCCTGGCACCCCTACTTGTGGATGCCCACAGTGTGCCCACAATTTCATGTGTCCTATATTGCTTCCCTTATTCTCTCTGCATTGGTACAAGCCCTGCTCGGGGTTATAATAGACTCACCAGAGCCTTCAGAAGCAGCCAGCTTACTTCTAGGCACGTGTTACTCTGAGTCTCTTTGTCTGCAAAATGGAGCTCTGATAGTATTTCCCTCATAGGGACTATTTCAAGTGTTATTGGATAATGTATGTAAAACATGCAGCCCATTGCCCAGCATGTATTAAGCATTCAACGAAAGTTTGCTTCTTGCCATTTTTAGCTGGAACCTTAGTAATTTAGCATCTACCACTGGAAACGTGCGGGAAATCATTTTGTGGCTGAGTTAATGTTGTAGCCCTGAAGAGGCATGGGTCAGTGATTATGAGAGCAGCACTCATCTGTAGGGACTAAAGTCCTCTTGCCAGATTCTTCAAACCTTTTCCAAGTTTTGGAGTTGCTTAACTACAGATCAGAGCTCACAGACTCAAATGTCTACAGATTCCATCAGTTAACATAAATGAGTGACATCGGCCAGGTGTTCATATATGAACATACTAGAATATTCCTCACATCCACTAAGAAATGTTTTCTTACATTTCTCTCACAACAAGAACTCCCTTTACCCCTGCTCCATTTTCCCTTCACATTTTTTTGATAGACATAATTGCAGATAAAGATTGCTCTACCAGAAGAAAGTAACTGCAAACACAATAAGGCCTCAATATAGAAATAAACTGAAATTCCTGTGGCCACAGGGAATGTGAGCCCAGTGTCAGTGTCTTCTGAGTTTTCAGAAGAATTCAGGATTTAGAATTTTATTTGACTTCTCATTGTTAAACACAAATGTTTCTTTCAAAATAAGAGTCAAAAATAAACACGACTGAGGACTGAATTTGGCTTGGGGCAGCTAGTTTGTTACTTTTGAGCAAAACAGAGAAATTCCATCCTGCTCACTTCTGGGGTGATGACTGAGCTCCCAAACACAGTGACCAGAGTGACTAGAAGGCAATGTCACCCTGGGGGTGCCTCGGCCTGGATAACTAGAGCCCAGGCAGAGTTTGTCACCAACGCTTGCTGTGCCGTTGGGGCCCTGTCCCCAACACCAGTTGAACCAGCCTCACTAGGAAACCACCTTCCAGGAGCCCTGGATTGGGTAATAGCCTATCAGAGGGAAAACTTCTATGGGCCTGTGCATGGAGCTCATGGGTCAGTGCCTGGGTGAAGGAGACCGCTGAGGGCACTGAACTGGACCCTACCACTCCCCTGAGCCTTTATCCTCCTCCTAGTCCCCACACTCCCATTCAAAGCTCTTTAAACTGCACCAAATATTCATCATGTTTGCAAAGCCTTTTCCTGAGAAAATTTATAACCAGGGGACCTGTGCAGCAGAGGAAAGAGTTTTCCTTCAGTATCTCTCCATAGGGAAGACAGAGCTGTTGAAGGACCTTGCTGCCTAGTGCTCCTAGTGATCACCAGATAGTCACCACCATCACTAGAACCTCCTCGGTAATCACAGCCAACATTTACCCAGCACTTACTCTGCTCCAGAAACTATTCTAAATACTACACAGTGCATCACCTCATTTAATCTTCCCAACAATGGGATGAGGTAGGTGGTACTATTTTCTTTTTGAGATGAAGAAATAGGCAAAAAAGATTAAATAAGTCACCCAAAGTCATCCAGCTAGTGAGTGGTAGAATCTGGTCTCAAACGCAGGTACTGGGACCAGAGAACAGCGCGCAACTAACCATGTCGGTGCCTGTCTGTCAGTACAAAGAGTCATGTGTGTGTGGAGGGGGAAGAAGGGGACCTGGAACCAGGGGATTCATTTCAAAAAGGAGGAGCTGAGATCTGAACAACTCACTCTTCCCCAAAATAACACGATTTAAAATCTTTCCCTTCTGTTTACTTTGGAAACCTCTTTTTTCACTGAGTCCAGGAGAGTAAATCCCAAAATTTTCTCGTCCTTACAGGACACCTCTTTCCAAGAGGGACAGGGGCTGGGGGTGGGGAGGACGAGTGATGAACCCGACAGGGAGCGAGGTCGCCGTGGTGGCGAGAGTCTCCTCCAGGGAAACTCTCCCAGGAGCCTGCAGCGCCCCCAGCCCTCCCTCCGCAGCCCACCTTCGCCCTCACCTCGTAGGTGCTGGTGATCCCCAGCTTGTAGAACACCGGGAGGAAGACCTCGGCGCTGATGAGGACCACGAAGAAGTAGGTGATGGCGAAGATGATGTACATGGCCCCGAAACGGTACACCTCCGAGGGGGAGCCCAGGATGGTGACGGCCGACATGAAGCTGGCGGTGAGGGACAGCGACACGGGCACGGCGCTCATCCTGCGGCCGCCCATCAGGAAGTCCTTGGAGGTCTGCTGGCCGCCCCCCGCGAAGGCGTAGTAGATGCCGATGGCGGCAGAGACGAGCAGCATGCCGGCGAACACCACGTAGTCCCAGGCCACGAAGGCGCC